GTCAGTAAGGGTAGAAAGCTCCCAAGAGGTTCACGCCTTCACTGCATGCGATGCATTGTGTCATTGTGCAATCTCAGTGAAGCCGAGAAGTAAATTGATCTTTCAAATAAAAAATAGTTCTAGTGCATAGTAAAACGTCACATAATAGATTGCTCGTGGATGGCTTTCATAGCACTTTATTCCGCTCTAACAAGATTCCCAATTAATTTGCTTTAGCTCCTATATTTTAGTTTAAATAATCACTTAAATATATGCAATTATGAATACAGAAGATAGCACAGATAAAAAAATATGAACGTAATCATTTTTGTTTTACACTTATTATACAACCACCTTTTATCTTTAAAACCAGTAACATCCGTAATAAAAAACCAAAGCGCAAACGAAATGTCCATAAAAACGAAAACGAAACGTAAGCGAATAAAGTAGAGCGAACGAAACGGAACGTCAAGCGTAATTAGCTTGTACCCAGAAAATGGCGGACGAATCGAAATAAATTTTAAATTAACTAGCGACAAAGGTAGACTAATTAATTCTGAAAAGTGATGCCGTATGTACAACTCTTGTACAAATTAAGTTATAACCGTATTATGTTTAACCGTTTTTTGACTACGTTTAATTCCAATTGTGTCCACATCTACCCTACAGACTTTATAATTATTAGGTCACTTAATACTGGTTTCTATATCAGAGTTATTTAATCATTCCTTAAGACACTAGTTTCTCAAAAACGACATTGTAATACTTCAGATACAAAGAAAAGATAACAAGGAAATAATAACTTACGACGCAATGTATTCTTTAATCATATTTATACAGTTATAGCTAAGTAACATAAAAGTCTACAACAATATAATTACACTCCACCTAAACAAAATTTTAAATTGGCCCGAACAAAGAAGCAGCTACTTGAATACTTCAAAATTAATTCAATAGGAGTTCAAAAATCCGATCAACTTTGGAACAATGTAAGATATCTAATATTATTATAATGAAAAGTAAAACAGAAAGTACACAGACAAATTTGGTCGTATCGTGTAATCGTATTATAAGAGCCAAATTAATGATAAAAGCTACGAACTTAGCCGACATCCATTAAATCTGCTTCTGAACTTCACGATAAGTTTTCGGTCCAAAACGGAGTTATGAAGTAGGCATTCGACAATTGTTCAAGATTAAATGAAAGATTAATAAGATTTTCTTTGCTTGGTCTTGTCTACTGTCAATCACTTTATTTTTGCACTCGAATAGAAATAATTGCTTAAATATCTACATAGTTTAAGCGCTGCTTCGACTTCTGGCTGTTATTATTCCCCATTCAACATGATTATATTTTATTCATCATCATCAGCTTATCGCAGTCCACTGCTGGACATAGGCCCCTCCCATTGCCTTATTCCTCATTCAACATGATTATTTTTTATTCATATCCTTCGTTATAACTCATTACAGACATCGTTCATCGTTATAACTCATGGCTTCGATTCCCAACCAGGACGAATAATTGTGTTATGAGCACGATCATTTCTTCTGTGTCTGGGTGTCATTTATCTATAACATGTATGTATTTTATCTTACTTTTAAAGTAAGAACAAGTCGAAAAGTGACGGGAATTCCTGTACATTTGATACACTAAATAGAAAAGTACTCTACTGCAACTGAAACGCTACTCAAATTTAAGACTGTTTATTTTCGCGTTGTCAATGTCGCCTTAAAGGAAATTGTTAGGTTCTTGCAAAATAATTAGGTTCTTTTTCTATGGAGTAAATAAATAATTAATCATCATTAACAGCCTATAATAGTCTACTGCTGGACATAGGCCTCTTCTTAGAAAGGAGGTTTTGACCTACTACTCCACGCTGACCAGACGGGTTGGTATAGGGTTTGTTTCAGTTTTCTTATTCTTCACAGTGCTGTTGTCCTGCGTAGTTAGCTTCGTAAGTCGGCTCCTACGACACCCACGGGATGAATAGGGTGGTGACACTCCGTATTCCGAATCTGTCACCACACGGATTAATAATTAATAAAGTGGAACCACTGCGTAATATAGGCATGTTTGTGTTACAGTTACGAGGTACAATAGCCATATGGAATTGGCACTACACATGGTTTAAGTAATTGTTATGCACGGTATTATACATTCCACGTATATGAATCAAACGAACAGATGGTTCACCAGATGGTAAGTGACTACCGCCACCCATGAACACCTGTAATACAAGAGTCACAAGTAGTCGCCTTTTGAGTCACCCTCCTCCCAATCAGGGGAAGGGGAGTTTTTCAATCACTCATTGAAAAGCAAAGGAAGGATGGTTTAACACCGGTTTTCCTTAAGACCGTGGTGTCATTCAAGTTGGTCCGGCCCATTTTATAACCTCAATCGATATATTTTTGTATAGAACATTACTTCCTTGCATAAAAGATCTAGCAATGCGTACAAAGGCAACGATTACGGCTATTGTTTCACCTTACCCAACAGTTTGTATAATCGAATCTTTAAGTAACGTCTTAATGCGCTTAGAATAAATGTATATATTTATGAAAACAATAGTAGTAGACAGAGCTGTACTATGGTAACAAGATTACGGATAAACGTACTTATATATGACTAAAGCAATTATAACCAGACACAATACAAATGATTTTACTTATCATTTATTTGTCCAGGGTGGGTTTAAACCATGACTTCAGTCTCAGCAGTTGATAGGGTATGAAGTAAAAGACTGCCTACAATGTAGTAAACTTTGCCAAAATATGCATCGATACACAACTACAAAACAAAATACTTTAGATGGGAGACAGTAGCCCATGCTACGTAAACGTGTGTTATAGGTCTCCTGGCCTCCTTATAGCGATTTTTCTTTTGTAAGAGGGGGCAGACGAGCAGACGTGTCACCTGATGGAAAGTGACCATCGTCGCCCATGAACGTCTGCAACTCAGGAGACACAAACGCGTTGCCGGCCTTTTATGAAGGAGTACTCTTTTCTTGAAGGTTTAAAGGTCGTATCGGTCCGTAAATACCGCAGACGATAATCCATTCCACAGATTGGTTGTGCGAGGCAAAAAGATTTTCGAAAAGCGCACAGTAGTGGAGCGTCAACTATCCAGGTGATGAGGATCAAAATTTGGTAGTACTCCGAACATTTCCCCGGAGCACTCTCCATGATATGTATATGCGATCGAGAATGCAGAGTGAAGCTACATCTCTACGTAACATTATTGCATTATTTACATATTACTTTACGAACAATATGGGAATATTATAAATACTATATATACTGTATACTCGTAATAGAGACACTGTGTGTGTATATGCATATACATACGCACACATTGTATCTCTCTAGTAACGTGTGTGTGTATGTGTTCATATGTGTGTTATATGTCCCTATGTCTATATACTTTTTCTTTGATACAAAAGTCTGAAAAAGCCGCTATTAAAGATTTGTTCCCGAAGTCATCATTAGGCTAAGTTATGCCAAAATATGTCGTTGGTAACACGAGTTATTTGAGATCATTCGTCTATGAATATAATTGGCCTGAGCGCCGTCTGGGCCTTTAGTTTGGGCAAAGTTAGCAAAGTTTAAGTCTTTGATCCTTACCGATGTTAGTGCGCACAAACGCACTAACATTATGTTGGTAATGAGACTTAACTTGGTTTTGTATGTTTTATTAGAGTCAGCCCAACTTATTATATTTCTTGCAGAAAAAACTTTAAGAGACAGGGAGAGATAACAGCCCCTCGCTTGCTTCTATTCTTGCCTCTTAAGGTTTCTCCACCGTTATTGAACTTTTCACAAAGTTGGCCGTCAAAAATGTGAATTCTAGCAAGAAAAAGCCTATTATAAAAATTCAGCTTTGTTGTATGGTAGTAAACGTAAGGCAAAATAATTTATTTTTCGTTTTTATCAAATTCGTCTTAAGCTTTAAAAAAATCATAACAATAAACAGTTACTCAATTTTCCTTTGCACAGATCTTCGCAATAATTTTCTAACGGTCATATATCTAAAACATCGCACTGAATAAAAATAATATTCATTTTTCTTTTTAGGGACTCGCTTTGTTGAAATAAGAAATACAGACATGGATTTAGAGATAAGAAACGACAATATTAAATAAAAACCAAGGTATTTTTAGTTGTCATAGCTATTTCAACGGCTACGTAAGCTTTGAAAGTAGGTATACTCGTAGAAGTTTTATAGCATTTAATAAATAATAATTTGAACGGAACTGTTTGAGAAGATTCATTTGATGTTGTCTGTATTTTAGATTGGTATCTACCGTTTTCTATTATTAGTGTTATTGTGTGTTTTTTTTTCTGAAAGCGAAAATAGCCTAAGTTGCTCTTTATATAGACATCTAGCTGGTAGTAAAATATTATCAAAATCGAACAAACAGACAGACAGACAAAAATTATTTAAACTGGCTTTTAGGTATCGTGCAAATAACCATGTGAGCATGAAAAAACCTATTATTTTGACATTACAAACAGACACTTCAATTTTATTTATTTATATAGATATAAATTTAAAGATGCTAAGCCTCAATCGAGGGCTATCCCATTTTAGTCCTTATTACAATAAAGACTCAAGTGGATAGGTGACAGTCCAATGAAATGTGTGTCTTTTTATATGCCTACATTTAATTTCTTAATTTGCCGATTATGCAGTAAATTAAAATGTAAAAGCCCAATCTACGTAAAATAGACGTATACCGCGGCGAAATATCTCTATCTCTTTCACGTTTACCATCGGATCGCTTCGAACTCCCGAACCAACTCAGTAGCCGTCAAGACCTCGCAGGACACGGTTGCGCCATCTTGGTAAGTTCCGCCATTTTGTTGCAATGACGATGTTGCACGTCATTTCGACGTATAATTGGGCTTTGCGTAACTTTTGTAATGGTTTCCAATTTTTTGTTGTAGTGATTTATTTGAGTTTATTGTTTAGTTTAGGCACATTACTCATAATATACTATTTATTTTAGGTTGAACACAAGATGGGGTCCCGCCAACATCTAAACCAGAACGAAATAGCTTCAATGTTAGAAAATGATGACGATTATTCTCCGCTGGATTCGGACTCCGAGCAAGAAGATTGTTTAGTTGAAGATGATGTCAGGAGTGATAACGAAGACGCAATGGTCGACTTCATTGAGGATACAAGCCCTACAAGCAGACAAGACGACCCCGAAAACCATGTTGCTTCTCTGGAATCGACTAATCTTGAGGTAACTTCATCTACTTCACATAGAATTATTACATTGCCTCAGCGGTCAATACGTGGCAAAAATAACCATGTATGGTCAACTACAAAGGGACGTACGACGGGAAGGACTTCTGCTATCAATATTATACGTACAAATAGAGGACCAACGCGAATGTGTCGTAATGTTTTTGACCCTTTGCTCTGTTTTCAACTTTTTATAACGGACGAGATAGTTGATGAAATAGTCAAGTGGACAAACGTGGAGATGATAATAAAACGACAAAATTTGAAAGAAATTTCGGCAAGCTACAGGGATACAAATGCAATGGAGGTCTGGTCGTTAATTGGAATACTCACTCTGACGGCTGTTATGAAAGATAACCACCTCTCAACTGATGAGTTGTTTGACGCTTCATTCTCTGGCACCCGGTATGTATCGGTAATGAGCCGAGAGAGATTCGAATTTCTTCTTAGATGTTTGAGAATGGACGATAAATCACTGCGGCCAACTCTTCGTAGCGATGATGCTTTTGTACCGGTGAGAAACATTTGGGAGATTTTTATCAATCAATGCAGATTGAACTACGTACCTGGCAGTAACTTGACTGTAGATGAGCAATTGTTAGGTTTCCGAGGCCGTTGTCCATTCCGCATGTACATACCCAATAAACCCGATAAATATGGGATAAAATTCCCCATGATGTGTGACGCTTCAACAAAGTACATGATAGATGCCATACCTTACCTTGGTAAAAGTACGAAAACAAATGGTCTACCATTAGGCGAGTTTTACGTCAAAGAGTTGACTAAAACAGTACACGGAACAAACAGAAATGTTACATGCGACAACTGGTTTACGTCGGTCCCATTAGCTAAAAACTTGCTCCAGACTCCATACAACCTAACAATAGTAGGAACCATCAGGTCAAATAAAAGAGAAATACCCGAAGAGATAAAAAACACTCGTTCACGGCCGGTAGGATCTTCAATTTTTTGCTTCGATGGCCCTTTGACATTGGTTTCCTATAAACCAAAGCCGTCGAAAATGGTATTTTTATTATCGTCGTGTGATGAAAATGCCGTAATAAATGAAAGTAATGGAAAACCAGACATGATATTATTTTATAATCAAACGAAAGGAGGTGTTGATTCCTTCGATCAGATGTGTTCCTCTATGTCCAGTAACAGGAAGACAAATAGGTGGCCAATGGCAGTATTTTACGGAATGTTAAATATGGCTTTTGTGAACTCCTATATCATATACTGTCATAATAAGATAAATAAACAAGAAAAACCAATGAGCCGTAAAGATTTTATGAAAAAATTAAGCACAGACTTGACGGCACCTTGGATGCAAAAACGACTGGAGGCGCCCACTTTGAAGAGGACTCTACGTGACAATATAACAAATGTTTTAAAAAATGTGGTACCAGCATCTCCAGAAAATAGTAATGATGAGCCAGAACCAAAGAAACGACGCTATTGCGGATTTTGTTCATATAAAAAAAGGCGGATGACCAAAGCGCAGTGTTGCAAATGCCAAAAGGCCATATGCGGAGAACACAATATTGATATTTGTCAAGACTGTCTATAAAGGCTATTTTTTTTTATGAGACTATATAGTATTATTACAAGTTAATTTAATTTTTGAAAAAAGTTTAAAACTAGTTGATTTTTGTAAAAATATCCTAATTATAAGAAAAAGAAAAAGTTTTGAAGTTTTTGTTGATTTCTTTTTTATGATTCAGTAAAAGTACTATTATTGTGTTAATAAATATTATATTATCCTAAAAAGCATTTTATTTATTAATGAAAAGTGTATTTTTAATAAACTAATCCCTTCAAATAGATCATAACTAAAAAATTATAGAAAATAGAGCGATTTTATTTTTACACGTCATTTTTACGTATGATTGGGCTTTATAGCCAGTGAAATATGATTGGGCTTCTAGGGTTAAGCTTTAAAAAAATCATAACAATAAACAGTTACTCAATTTTCCTTTGCACAGATCTTCGCAATAATTTTCTAACGGTCATATATCTAAAACATCGCACTGAATAAAAATAATATTCATTTTTCTTTTTAGGGACTCGCTTTGTTGAAATAAGAAATACAGACATGGATTTAGAGATAAGAAACGACAATATTAAATAAAAACCAAGGTATTTTTAGTTGTCATAGCTATTTCAACGGCTACGTAAGCTTTGAAAGTAGGTATACTCGTAGAAGTTTTATAGCATTTAATAAATAATAATTTGAACGGAACTGTTTGAGAAGATTCATTTGATGTTGTCTGTATTTTAGATTGGTATCTACCGTTTTCTATTATTAGTGTTATTGTGTGTTTTTTTTCTGAAAGCGAAAATAGCCTAAGTTGCTCTTTATATAGACATCTAGCTGGTAGTAAAATATTATCAAAATCGAACAAACAGACAGACAGACAAAAATTATTTAAACTGGCTTTTAGGTATCGTGCAAATAACCATGTGAGCATGAAAAAACCTATTATTTTGACATTACAAACAGACACTTCAATTTTATTTATTTATATAGATATAAATTTAAAGATGCTAAGCCTCAATCGAGGGCTATCCCATTTTAGTCCTTATTACAATAAAGACTCAAGTGGGATAGGTGACAGTCCAATGAAATCGGTGTCTTTTTATATGCCTACATTTAATTTCTTAATTTGCCGATTATGCAGTAAATTAAAATGTAAAATGTATTGTATTTGGAGCATAGGCCCCCGTTACCCAATTAGATGTCTGAGTCAAATTGTAGAGTAAACATAAAATTAACACAGTTTAAACAATTAATGATGACCTCTGTTTTGCAAGAGGTCGTTTGGGTCGCACAAAACCTCCTTCTATTTTCGTACGCATTTTACAATTTACTTTATACACGACGATTCTGTCCATGTGTGTATATTATAGATTGACGCTACATCTCCGAAGGGATAAGCAGGGGCATATTAAACACAACATTTTGCCCACTATTGATGTATGTATATGAGTTTATTTAGATCTATTATGTTGTAGGTGTTGTGATTGTTTTTTACTTATATTTTTATTTATCCAAATATGGACCGAATTGGATCCATCGTTGTCACTGGTTCATCGATCGAGGTGTAAGTATTTTAAGTTTGAAATTGGCTTCATTAAAGAGGTCTAAAAACATTCCGACTTTTGACTGTACATATGACACAAAATCCGATAACTATCCCGTAGGCTGACCGGTATGCGTTACTGCGACGTTAGCATGTCAAATTGTAAAATCGGTGTCAATTTTTCATTTGCTCTGTTTAAAAAAAAAACCAAGGATGTCCTATCAATATAACCGCCTCAAAAATTGAATCGAAAATCTAAAGGAAATCTGTAAGTTTGAAAAATTGGCTTTTAAAAAGGTTTTTTTTTTACAATAAAGAACAGGGCTTGAAAAAAGTGATGTCAGTTTCTATGCATATGAATGTTAGTTTGAAAAACGTAAATATTCAAAATGCATAAAAACTGATAAATAAAATTCTCAGTTGATTTTTAATATTTTTTTACTCTAGATACGTCTAATCTTAAAAAAGTTTAAAGGCTATAACGAGGAATCACTCACTACTGGCCAGTGAACAAAAATGCTTGTGAAACCGAGGGTATTACTCGTACAGTAGGTACTATATTTAAATCGTATTTCTGATAGGCAGGCATTTCGCAAAAACATTGAAATAATAATAACTTCACAGATCTCACACACGCGGGCGTCTGATTCTAAACTAGGCTGAGCCTGTACTATGGTAATCAGACTGCTGATAGACATACTTATATATTTAACTGCACGGATGGCGTAGTGGTTAAGGCAGTCGCCACGCCGCTTCCTACTGCGCCGAGTGTTGTGGGTTCAAACACCACATGGGACGAGACTTTGTGTGATCCACAAAGTTTTGTTCTTTGTGTCCGTTTCATGTATGTTTGTAAAGTCCCCCGCGACACAGGAATGTATTCCTAATGCGGGAGTTGTCTTTTTAAATAAATATATATATATATATATATAATTCTAAATACATACATAGATAAATTACACACAGACACAGAACAAATGATCGTGATCATCTTACAATTATTTGTCCTGGGTCGGAATCGAGTCCACCTAAATGACCTACATAACGATCGCGTAAACCATATATATAATAGATAGATAGATAGGTACAACGGAGTAATCTCACAAGTATGAATTCATTCCCGCCACAGTCTGGCGGGCCACACGCGATGCTCAAGCCCAGATGTCGTCAGCTGCGATAACGACATGCGGGCTTCACTTGACAAAGCGTGACTGACGGCTGAAGTACATGGCTTTTATGTCACCATAGCACTTTATCTATAAGCGAATTTACAGGCTTAAAGCTACATGAGTGTCGTTTATTTAAGGTTAATTTTTTTACCGACTGCGTTAAAAGGAGGGTTTTACATTATTCGGGAGTATGTATGTGTGTATAATTGTTTGGCACGCTATGTAGAATTTTTGTTTTTGAGGAGTGTTATATTCTTCTTAATTGTGAGAGGTATATGAAAATTCTAATCGCCTGCTTGTTAATTTTAAGTATGCATTTTCACATTGTGGAGTTTTTGTTTTCAATAATTAGCTTGTTTAGATGCGGTACACAGTGACAGTGCGGTAAGATGAGTGTAGGTCTACTCAGTAGAAGCTGAAATTTGGAATTGTGTCTTCCGCTCCGCCTGTCATAAGTTGTGTTTACACATTTTTATACCTGATTTTAATTTATATCTAGACCCTCATTGGCAATAAACAAATGATATTCTACCCAAAACAAAAGAAGTTACTTTTAAAAGGTCAAATAAAACACTCGGATTTGCGACATATGTATGTTTGATGAAGTCACTAACCGATAAACTAAACTCCATTGAGTAGTAGGTATATGTATGTATTTAGGTATTATTATGATACAAACTGACAGCTGAGAGCCTGTTTATCGGTTAATGACGTAACTGATCTTGTTGATGTTTGTCGTCACGTTGTAATATTAGTTTTATAAGCAACAAGCTACTGTACGCGGATTATTTCTTCTTTCTTGTTACTAATTTTGAAAATTACGAACTTCCATACAAGTTCTTCCCTTATAAGTGAAATTTCCAAAAACTTTTCTTAGTGGCTGTTTACAATATACAAAGGTGAATGCCCATTTCAGTATCAAAATCACACCTTTTTTTCACTATGTCAAATATGTATAAATTGCATTGTTAAGGCTGAATTGAGTATCTGAAATATTAACGTATATTGTAACTGAACTTGTGGCCTATTGAGAAATTAAATGTAAATATATTAACAACAACGAGAAAATATTGTGACACTGACGGTTATTTTCTTCTTCTTCTTCATAAATGGCAAACTGTGCCGATGTCGACAATTCTGCCAGTGTCAAGTGCGATGGAAATACGTGGGTTTTATTACACAAAAAATTGAATTGATGATATTAATTGTAGACTGAATGTGGGGCTTTTTGTTGTGGTTAGTATTTACACTGAAGACGGTTATTTTTTATAATCTTTGTGGCATCGTGTTTTTGACAAGGATACCAGGTATAAATAAAGGCAAAACTAACACTGAAGTATACATTTACTAAATAAACTACGACTTCATATATCAAATAATAAGATTACTAAACTGCAATATAATAATATATAATGTGGCATTACGAATTATTATTTTAATTTTATTTTAAAACGATGTTTACTTGCATTTAACCATTAATGGTTTATTCATATAATGGCAACATTTAACTTAAAATGGAAACGGTCACTGATTTAATTTTTAGCCCTTGTATGATTTAATTTCAAACTCTTAGTTCTATGGAAAAGATTCAGGGTTGAAAAGGCACATTAAAATATATATTTTTTATTTGAACTAATGACGCAAACTTCTAAAAGTGAAACCATGAATTGGCATTCTCCTTCCAAGTTTGTAGCCCCATCGGTTTAGGCTCTGCGTCGATGAATTAGTCAGGGCAAGTAATTTTATATAAATAGATTACATTTTTTTATCTTAAATTAAAAAAAAATGTTTATTTTTTAGTTACAACTTACCATATTTTTTTTAGGGGAAGGAGAACTTTAACACAAACCGTGACTGACTGACCGTAGCTGACTGAAAAAGTAAGGACTGCACGGATAGCGTAGTGGTTTAAGCGGTCGCCACGCCGCTTACTACTACGCTGAGTGTTGTGGGTCCGATCCCCACATGGGACGACACTTTGAGTGATCCAAAAATTTTTGTTCGGAGTCTAGGTGTTCTTTGAGTCCGTTTCATGAATGTTTGTAAAGTCTCCCGCGACACACGATTTAATCCTAGTGCGGGAATTGTCTTAAAAAAAAAACAAGAAAAAAATTGCTGGTAATGTTATTTTTTCTAAATATAACATTTTCTAATAATTTTACATTTTAATTTTACAAAAATTGTAAATAACTTAATATACGTTTACACCAACATTATTAATTTAAACGACAGCGACACTTAAATTATCGTGGAAGTGATAAGAATATTAAAATAAGTCAATACAACTCTCAAAGTCTCTTAGGTTTCAATTTAATTTAACAAAATTTTAACGAAATTACTTCTTTAAGACTAACGAATCTTGAACGGAATGGATTTTATTGGAATCGTTAATTTGAATTATCTACTTCACTATTTTTTTCGTGATATTGGGAGCAAAAACGCAGACAGAAGACGAGTCACCGGTAGTGACGACAAACAAACGAACGAAACGACGGCTAGACAAAAAACTGTATTTATTTCAGTAGAACGTCTTTAGAAACATAATATGTAACATTCCACCCCTGTTGCAACAAGTTTGTGTGAAAGCAGTTGTCAAAGTATAAAACACAACAAACATACATTTATTCGTCATAAATGTCAACTAAAACAATATATGTACCAATTAAAAGTTATCTAAACTATATTATTTGCATAATCCATTCACAACTAGATATTCCCAATTTCAGAAACAGTAGAACTGTTGACGAACCTTATTACAATCAAGGAAAGCCGAGAATCCAATGACTATCAATAGGTAAATAAGAAAAGATATCTTTGTAAGAACATACGGGTACAAAAGTACTTATGAAGCCCTAACGAGTAGTGTACATGTGAGACGATACGGGCGCCCTCTATACGGAACAATGCCTTCATTATTCAGACTAGTCAAGTTCGAGAATATGCCTTATCCAAAGAGTTATAAGTCTCTAAGTTGAATAATTCTAATACAGAACAAAGGCCGGAGTTTAACAAAGAAAATCAACAGATGGCACTGTGATAAAGATGGGCACATTTCGAATGAGTGTTCATTATGAAAATAAAAGGTCAAGGATTTGGAAGCGTTAATTTTTTTGGAAGGGTCTGCGGGTTCCCTTCCCTGGCCTCGGTGAGGAAATGTTGGGATTAAGTTGAAAAATTTTCTGATTAAAATATAGGTGTGTTTACTTCGCACCGCGCTAATTAAAATGAAAAATACTAGTCATTACTCGCAAGTAGACGTGCATTAATGGCGCTTCTACAAACATGAGTGTTAATTACATCAGTTGCAAATTATACTTTCAAATTGAGCAAACTAATAAGTAATGAGTAAATAATTAAGTTTCAAGAATTATCATTACGACGAGTTTAAAACAATAATCTACTCTGCTATAGGTCAGTTCTCTTTGACCCTTACTGTCAGAAGCGCTATCAATGCAAGAAGAGTAACATGAGAAGGAGAGAAGAATAAATAAATACGCGCAACAACTGTTCTTTCATGTCATAGGAGGAGGCACTTCTGTGTGTCTGTCCAATTCCTCTAGGCTTTCATTCATATGCTCAGCGTACCAACTCGCCTCCCTACATCTATATTCTCTCGCCTTATTCGTCTCTGGTGAAAGCAGAGACAATAAAAACCCATTTGCAATGATACTGATATTCCCCGATACCTTCATATTCATCAGACACTACATGTTCGCAGGTTAAACGATCTGAAAGCGAATGGGCTCGTATTATTTGTCACAAAAGTCTAGAATAAGTTACAATTACACGGAGTTAGCGTAAGGGTTATCGTATTTCTCTGAATTATAAATGTTTTTAATATTTCATATAAATGTGGTGTAGTGTAAATACTGTGTTTTAATTATTACAATATTAACCTCTTACAAAAGCTTGCCGTACAAATTTCCAACCCTTTCAGTTTCTTATTAAACAACCTGAAAATTGTAAACTCTTTCCTCTCGCAGGAGTACATAAATCAACTGAAACCATTCCAGGAGCTTAACTCGAGCCCGTCAAATATGCAACATGTGGTATATATACCAGCCATAAATAAGATCGACCAGGAAAACGTAAGAAACAAAATAACGGCGAATAATATAAAAAGACCCAGGTTTTATGTGAATGCCCACATTAATAATTCATTCGTAATCCCCCAAAGTTGGTGGTGGGATCTAAAATGTGTTTTACGACACAATCGAGCTGTTTTATACACTGTGTACAGGGGCGAACTGAGGTGTTAACTCGCCAATTGCCCACTGTTCGATAACATTTTGTTGTACGTGTTATGTGTCTTCCTGTTTTATAGACGCTGTTAATGGAAAA